CACTCGGTATCTAAGTGTATGTAACACTCCGTATCCCCCCCGTAATCCACTCGGTATCCACTCGGTACCACACTCCGTATCCACTCCGTACCACACTCCGTATCCACTCCGTATCCACTCCTATCCACTCGTTCCCAAAACACTCCGTTCCCCTCCCGTATCCACTCGTACCCCACCCCCGTATCCACCCCCCTCCCCCACCCTCCTATCCCTTCCATCCACTCCTTCCCCTCTACCCACCCCCCATTCCCTCCGTATCCACTCCGTATCCACTCTTATCCACTCGGTATCCACTCCGTATCCCTCCGCATCCATTTCGGTACCACACTCCGTATCCACTCCGTATCCACTCCGTATCCACTCGGTACCACACTCCGTATCCACTCCGTATCCACTCGGTACCACACTCCGTATCCACTCCCTATCCACTCCGTATCCACTCCGTATCCACTCCGTACCCACTCGGTACCACACTCCGTATCCACTCCGTATCCACTCGGTACCACACTCCGTATCCACTCCGTATCCACTCCGTATCCACTCCGTATCCACTCGGTACCACACTCCGTATCCACTCCGTATCCACTCGGTACCCACTCCGTACCCACTCCGTATCCACTCCGTATCCACTCCGTACCCACTCCGTACCCACTCCGTACCCACTCCGTATCCACTCCGTATCCACTCGGTACCACACTCCGTATCCACTCCGTATCCACTCGGTACCACACTCCGTATCCACTCCGTATCACACTCCGTATCCACTCGGTACCACACTCCGTATCCACTCCGTATCCACTCCGTACCCACTCCGTATCCACTTAGTGAAATTATAAAGACAAGCAGTAGGACTATGTTTTAGTCTTTATAGTCTAGACAGATTGACTATGTTTAACCTATGGTCTGACCTTGTGTACCACTCAGTAACATGGCTCTGTATGGTCCACTGAAAAAATACCCAACACTGGTTGTCATCAAGCTGTAAATATCCAATACAGGCTGCTTAGCATACTTTAAAAAACGAACAGTAAAACAGGCTGCTTAGCATATTTAATTGCCTGCTGATGGGACATCAATTGTGTATGGGCTTTCCATTGTATTAAAAGCCGTTGTCACAGAAAAGTGAACATTCACACAGTTGCAATGTATTTTCTACGAACCGATATATTATCAATATCGAATCGAAAAATGCAACTGATATGTATATATATTTTCCATATCGGTGCCCATCACTTATTTAATGGATTTATTTGATGAGGGATTGCAATGTATCATAAAGTGTGTTAAACCATGAATTTTTATTTTATAAAATTGGTGACTGTAGTGCCTGTGTCCCTATAGCCTGGTTGATATTCATTACATTTAAATGGTAAATAATTGAGATTTTCGTTTTGACTAAAAAGTTTGTCTTATGTGTTTGTTTTTTGAGTGTTGATAATTGAATGTGTATAGAGGCTTTGACTTCAGGACCATGGATAGCACCGCGTCATTTGAAACTGGTTTCTACAGACTGTACGGAGGGCCGAAACACTTCTGTTTTTTATTTCTACCTGGTAGTTAATTGCACTCACCTGGTGTCCCAGGTCTGAATTATCCCCTGATTAGAAGGAGAGGATGAAAAACAGAGGTGTTTCGGCCCTCCAGGACCGGAATTGAAGAACCCTGCTGTACGGAGTACTCCCAACCACACTTTAAACCTCTGTGCATAGAATCGTTATTACTATATGAGTCCATATGAGGCCTACAGTGTATTGCATTGGGACCAATGGGTGGAGTAAAACGTGTTGCTGGATATTTAGACCAAAGTACTCCATGGAATAACACCATATATAGATTCTACAGACGCTACTGAGTACCCCCATCACACTTTTACTTTGGCACATAGAATCGTTTTCTTTCTATAAGCCAGTGCTTCTCAATTATTTTCTGTTACGCCCCCCCTAGGAAGAAGTAAACATTTCGCGCCCCCCAACTTTCCGTCGTGACTGTAAATAGTATAATTTGTCTATAAAATTGTTATAAGTACACCTCTGCATAACATTGTATCCTTATTAACATTAAAGAAAACAAAAATAAAGAAAGAAATATAGATCAACTTACAACAAAGAATAACTTTATTAACATTGTTTTTTAGTCTGTAACAGAAAATACTTAATGAGGAAGTCAGGATTAATGGCTACAATGAGCACGTTTTGCAGTGCACAGCTTTTCGAAGCGGGGTTTGAAGCATGATACTGCAACTCTCAGCTCCTGCTCAATGTTTAGCTGGGACCTGTACTTGGTCTTCAGTGCAGCAACAGCAGAGAAGCCAGTCTCACAAAGATAAGATGTTTCAAAAGGAAGAAGAATGCCCATGGCCCTCTGCCCTAAGAGTGGATACTGCCTCTCTACACTCAGCCAGAATTCACTCGGTCTGTGATGTGAACCTCAGTCTCAATGTGGAGTCAGACGTCATATCAATAAACTGGTCCTCCTCTGCAGAGCTGAAACCAATTGGAGCTGGTGCATTGAAAGGATCTCTCACCCAGTCATATTGGGAACTGTTTTCAGGGAAGTACTTTTTAAAGAATCCCATCAGTGATGAAATATGCTCTTTAATATATGGAATCACTGAGGTGGCATCATAGTCAGTGGTGTCAACAAATTCATGCAGGTTCTCGAATCAATCAGTATTTCCTTCATCAAGTCGCCTGCCCCACATTGCAAGCTTTCGAGTGAAAGAGCTGATCTTGTCTGTGACCTGAGGGAGGTGTTTATCTTTCCCTTGAAGCTGTAGATTTAGTTCATTTAGCTTTCCAAATATGTCACTCAGGTAGGCCAGTTTTGCCAGGAAGTTCTCATCACTAAATTTTCTGCGAGGTCATACTTGTGCTCCTGCTCCGAAAACATTCTTATCTGCTCTCTGAGCTCAAAAACCCGGGACAATACTTTTCCTCGTGACAGCCACCTTGCTTCACTGTGAAACAGCACAGCTTGATGTTCAGCTCCCATCTCCTCACAGATAGCAGAGAATACTCTTGTTTTTAGTGGTCTGGTCTTTATAAAATTGACTACACCTACAATGTCAGTCATAACCTCACTTAATTCAGAGGAAATGTGCCTTGATGCCAGTGCTTCTCTGTGTGTAACACAGTGTGTCCACTCAGCATTAGGTGAGGCCTTCTTGATGAGTGCCCAAAGTCCTTTTCTCATCCCTGCCATGGTCTGTGCACCATCACTGCAAACACCAATGCAGTTCTCCCACTTTAGCCCATTCTCAGTCAGGAAGCAGTCCAGCATTTTGAATAGCTCTTCAGCTGTGGCTCTGTCTGAGACATATTTACAAAAAAGTAGATCCTCACACAGGGAGTTTGTCATGTCAAATCGTACATAAGCGATAAACAAACAGTCTTTGTTGTTATCAGTTGCTTCATCGAACTGTAAGGCAAAACGTTTGTCTTTGAGTTTATCTACCAGCTGTTCTTTAAGATCGTTAGCAATGTCATTTATACGTCTGGCGACAGTGTCATTGGACAGAGGGATAGTTTTTTTTGTTGCACTGAGCAATTTGGTACGCCACCTTATATGATGCTAACAGTGCTCGCTGGTTTACTGAAGTAGCATTCACAAACCGGGACGATTGTTGGCAATATTCGGCACGTTTTCGCTGAAAAAACTCAAGCGGCTTATCAGCGTGATTGGGGTGTAATGTCTTTAAGTGACGCCTTAATTTATTTGGCTTCATGCTGTCCGCTGCCAACATTTTTAGACACAGTAAACATACCAGTCTTTCCTCTTCCACCGTAGTCACAGTGAAGCCAAGCGCTACATACGCTTCGTCATATTTCCTCGTCTTAGCTTTCGGGAGACTTACGTTTGTCTCATTATCTCCGTCTCTCTCCGCCTTTCTTTTCATCCCTGTTAAATATGTTTCCATGGTGTCTCTTAAGGGTTTGTTATCTGCACTTCATATCTCCTGCTCTGTGCTCTGTGCTCTTGTTCGGTGCAAAGAAAAACCTACTCCCTGCGGCAAAAAAAAGCATGTTTCCCGGGGTCACACGCGCCCCCCCCTGGCATCGCTCCGAGCCCCCCCAGGGGGGGCGCGCCCCACTATTTGAGAAGGACTGCTATAAGCCAATATGTAATGTACTGTATGGGCCGTATGTATTGCATTGGGACCAATGGAGTGGGTGGAGTAGAAAGTGTTGCTGGGCATATAGACCTCAGTCCCCCATGAAATAACACCATATATATATATATATTCTACAGACCCTACTAGGTACTCCCCACCCCACTTTTACATCGGCACAAATAATCGTTTTTCCTGTACGGTGTTATGTTTGAGCTGTTGGACCACAGTAAAAGGCCAGCAACACTCCGGATTATTCAGAGCCCCATGAAATGACACCATAGATACATTCTACCGACCCTACTGAGTTTTCCCTACAATACTTTTGCAGCAACCAGAATAGTTATTGCTCTATAAGCCAATATGTATTCCATATACAATGATTTGCATTGGAACATGTTTTAAAACCCAAATGTAATGCAAATGTCACTTAAATATTAACAAATAAGAATCATTATTCATGTGTAGACAACTATTTGTCATATATCATCAATAAATACAGGTTATTTATACTTTTCTACCAACAAGCACCCTCACGACGCCAGGACAGCGGAGTCACTCACCACCTTCCGGAGACATTTGAAACCCCACCTCTTTAAGGAATACCTGGGATAGGATAAAGTAATCCTTCTACCCCCCCTTACCCCAACCCCACCCCCCAAAATAAATAAATATATATATATATTGTAAAGTGGTTGTCCCACTGGCTATCATAAGGTGAATGCACCAATTTGTAAGTCGCTCTGGAAATGAGCGTCTGCTAAATGACGAAAATGTAAATGTGAAATTATGTGGGGAATTTATTTGGGGGCAATGTTCGAAATTCCGTAACCCGGAAGTACTTTCTTAATGTTGCTGACGAGACGAGGATCACATTCTGCGACTCATCAAGTGGTGAAATGTCTCCACTCACGGAGTATGGGCGACACTTTGGTCAATGGATAGGCATTATATTCATTGTGGTGGTTTTCGTACCCTGGGCCACGGCGCTTATCGAGGGCCTGTATTGTGGCACCGAGATTTGTTACGATGTACTCGGAGTGTCGAGAGAAGCGGCCAAATCGGACATAGGTCGTGCTTACAGACAGCTGGCCAGGAAGTATCACCCGGATAGATTCTCAAGTCTTGCAGGCGAGACTCGTGAAAGTGCTCATCAAACATTTCTTCTCGTTGCGACTGCATATGAAACTCTGAAGGTAAGTGGAGAAACCTCACATTTGATTCGTTTCAGCTAAACCTATATGCTGACGTCAATTTATGTTGAATGCCAATGTGGCACTTTTCTCAACTCCGTCAAAGGCCTTCAGTCAATTTGATCGTTTTGTCTTACAGTGTACCAATACTGTCAATTACTGCGTTATGAATAGACCTGAACAGGTTAAAGTTATCAGTGTGATGTTTTTTTCACAGACAGTAGGTGCAGCCCAATCAAATCTCAGACACCCAAGATATTGGGAAAAATTGTGTTAGCGGTTTATCAGATGAGGAAATCGTAAACTCTATGACATCTGAATCAGAGGAGCAGCGTGTAACTGGAGAGGTTGACATGGTAAGCTCTGAATCAGAGGAGCAGTGTGTAACTGGAGAGGTTGACATGGTAAGCTCTGAATCAGAGGAGCAGTGTGTAACTGGAGAGGTTGACATGGTAAGCTCTGAATCAGATCAGCAGCGTGTAACTGGAGAGGTTGACATGGTAAGCTCTGAATCAGAGGAGCAGTATGTAACTGGAGAGGTTGACATGGTAAGCTCTGAATCAGAGGAGCAGTGTGTAACTGGAGAGGTTGACATGGTAAGCTCTGAATCAGATCAGCAGCGTGTAACTGGAGAGGTTGACATGGTAAGCTCTGAATCAGAGGAGCAGTGTGTAACTGGAGAGGTTGACATGGTAAGCTCTGAATCAGAGGAGCAGCATGTAACTGGAGAGGTTGACATGGTAATAAGAGAGGATACACTGAAGTGTGTTTTGTCAGATGAGTTTGGAGGGTTCATGCTTACAACTCCAAATAATAGTGTGTTTAGGTTGACTCGTGAGGAATGGGAGAGGGTCCTTTCAGAAAGAAGTGGTAGGTATTTTAAAAAGTTAGTATGGCCTACTTTGCAGCGCTGAAAAGCGGCGTCCAGAAAAGTCGGATCCGCAGTCTCGGCTTTTTAAAAAAACAGTAGCAGACTTTTTTGTGTGTGTGTTTGACCTCGATCACACACACAGTGTTATTGTGGAAAATGGTAGGCAGCATTATCTGGATATGTGTGGCACAAATGTTCAACATTCACCTAATGCTACCATTTCTGTCAAGCCGTCTACGCATACAGTTTGACGCATAAGTTCGATCAATCCAACGTATGCAACCACACAGAACACACTGCAACTGCCTCTGCAACGCAATGCTGCAAGGCTAACGCAGCGTTCCATTGGAAATGAATGTACTTCTGGGAACCGAAATGCAAACAAGCTGTCAGTGTGATCGAGGCGTTATGAGAGGGCAACGTGAATACCCTTTTTCACAGTGGCATGCAAGACAACGTTTTACACGAGTTATCAGAGAGAAAGGTACATGGTGTCTTATTCCTTGTGATCTAAAAGGCTAAACTGATCCTAAGTTAGCACTCCTACTCTGATACGCTTGATACATACAGCTCTCAATCATTCTGATAAGATGAAATAAGGGTAATTTCCTCCTGTGTATCAGGATGAGGACTCCCGTAGAGATTACGACTACATGCTGGACCACCCGGAACAGTACTACAGCCACTACTACACCTACTACAGCAGACGGCTGGCACCTAAAGTCGACGTGCGGATTGTCATTCTGGTGACCGTGGTTGCTATATCAATTTTCCAGGTAGGATCATATCTATCTTCACGTTCACACACATAGTCAAATAGTGCCCTTTTAAAGGGAATAGGGTGTCATTTGGGACGCATTGCTGTTTCTTTATTAATACCAATCATGAGAAACAGCAGTAGAATGGCACCGTTTTGGTAATGGAAGGTTATGAATGGCACCGTTTGGTAATGGAAGGTTACAAATGGCACCGCTTGGTAATGTAAGGTTACGAATGGTACTGTTGGTACATAGCAGTGTGTGAATAATCAGAGAGGTTCTGATAGACCATAGGAACCCCTTTCCTCCCCAGCTCCTGGGATGCACTCTATGAAGTCTCTAAATGTCATATTTTTTTTCTCAGTGGAAACTGTTTAGGCTACACAATAACAATGCTGACTGCAGTGGTGGAAAAATGACCCAATTGTCATACTTGAGTAAAAGTAAAGATACCTTAATAGAAAATGACTCAAGTAAAAGGGAAAGTCACCCAGTAAAATAGTACTTGAGTAAAAGTCTAAAAGTATTTGGTTTTTTAAATACTTAAGTATCAAAAGTAAATGTAATTGCTCAAATATACTTAGGTATCAAAAGAAAAAGTATAAATCATTTCAATTCCTTATTTTAAGCAAACCAGACGGCCCCATTTTCTTTTTGTACGGATAGCCAGGGGCCCACTCCAACCGGTCCGCCAGATCAGAGGCAGTAGAGAGGACCAGGGATGTTCTCTTGATAAGTGCATTGGACCATTTTCCTGTCCTGCTAAGCATTCAAAATGTAACGAGTACTTTTGGGTGTCAGGGAAAATGTATGGAGTAAAAAGTACATTATATTCTTTAGGAATGTAGTGAAGTAAAAGTTGTAAAAAATATATAAATTGTAAAGTACAGCTACCCACAGAAACTATTTAAGTAGTACTTTAAAGTATTTTTACTTAATTACTTTACACCACTGCCTGATTGTGACTTAATTTCCCTCCTTCAGTACTACAGTTGGTGGGCCAGCTACACTGAAGCCATCAACTACCTATCAACAGTCCCCAAGTACCGTATCCAGGCGACAGAGATAGCCAAGCAGCTGGGTCTCCTGAACAAGACAAAAGAGAAGGGTAAAAACCGACGGTCCAAAGAGGACATCAGGGAACAGGAAGAAGAGATCATCCGTGACATCATCAAGAACAAGATCGACATCAAGGGAGGCTACCAGAAGCCTAAAATCTTGGACATCCTGCTCTGTAAGATTGTCCTGTTCCCCTACTGCCTGTGTGCCTACGTGGTCTGGTACTGTAAGTGGATGTACAGGTTCACCATCTGCAGAGAGGAGTACGGAGACGAGGAGAAGCTGTACATCATCAGGAAGAATATGAAGATGTCTCAGTCTCAGTTTGACGGTCTGGAGGAGGAGCAGAGAGAGACCTTCCTGGAGAGGCAGCTCTGGATCAAAGACAACTATGAGGTCTGTAGTAACGTTGTTGTAGTAGCAGTAGTAATAGCAGTAATAGCAGAATTGGTAGCAGTAGTAGTAGTAGTAGTAGTAGTAGCGGTAGCAGTAGTATTAGTAGCATAAGTAGGAGTAATAGTAACACCAGTAGTACTAGCATTAGTAACAGTAGTAGTAGTAGTAACAGTAGTAGTAGTAGTAGTAGTAGTAGTATTAGTAGTAGTAGTAAAAGTAGTAATAGCAGTAGCAGAAGCAGCTGTATTAGTTGTAGCAGCAGCAGTAGTAGAACCGGTAGTAGCAGTAGTAGTAGTAGTAGTAGCAGAAGTAGTAGCAATAGCAGCAGCAGTATTAGCAGTAGTAGCAGTAGTGTTGTAGTAGTAGTAGTAGTAGTAGTAGTAGTAGCAATAGCAGCAGCAGTATTAGTAGTAGTAGTAGTAGTAGTAGCGATAGTAGTAGTAGTAGTAGCGATAGTAGTAGTAGTAATAGCGATAGTAGTAGTAGCGGTAGTAGTAGCAGCATTAGTAGTGGTAGTAGTAGTAGCGGTAATAGTAGTGGTAGTAGTAATAGTAGTAGTAGTAGTAGTAGTAGTAGTAGTAGTAGTAGTAGCGGTAGCAGTAGTATTAGTAGTAGTGGTAGCAGTATTATTAGTAGTAGTAGTGGCGGTAGCAGTAGTGGTGGTAGTAGTAGTAGTAGCGGTAGTAGTAGTAGTAGTAGTAGTAGTAGTAATGGTATAGTAGTAGTAGCAATAATAGTAGTAGTAGTAGTAGTAGTAGTAGTAGTAGTAGTAGTAGTAGTAGCGATAGTAGTAGCGGTAGTAGTAGTAGCGATAGTAGGAGCGGTAGTAGTAGTAGTAGTAGCGATAGTAGGAGCGGTAGTAGTAGTAGTAGTAGTAGCGATAGTAGTAGCGGTAGTAGTAGTAGCATTAGTAGCGGTAGTCGTAGTAGTAGTAGTAGCGATAGTAGTAGTAGTAGTAGTAGTAGTAGTAGCAGTAGTAGCTGTAGTAGTAGCAGCATTAGTAGCAGTAGTAGTAGTAGTAGTAGTAGTAGTAGTAGCGATAGTAGTACAGTAGAGCGATAGAGTAGTGTAGTAGCGGTATAGTAGTAGTAGTAGAGTAGTAGTGTAGTAGTAGAGCAAGTTAGCGAGTAGTAGTAGTAGTAGAGATAGTATAGATAGCAAGTAGCGTAGTAGTAGTAGTATGTAGTAGGTGAAAGTAGTAGTAGTAGTAGTAGCGTATAGTAGAGAGTAGTAGCGTGTATAGTAGTGTAGTAGTATAGTAGTAGTAGTAGCGGTAGTAGTAGTAGTGTAGTAGTAGTAGCGTGTAGTAGTAGTATTAGTGTAGTTAGATAGTAGTAGATAGTATAGTGTAGTGGTAGTAGTAGTAGTAGATAGAGTAGTAGTATAGTAGTATAGAAGTAGTAGTAGTAGCGTGTAGTTAAGTAGTAGTAGTAGTGAAAGTAATGTAGTAGTGTATATTTAGTAGTAGTAGTAGCAATAGTAGTAGTAGTGTGTAGTAGTAGTAGTAGTAGCAGTAGTAGTAGTAGGGTAGTATGTAGTGTGTAGTAGTAGTAGCGTAGTAAGTAGTAGGTAGTAGTAGTGGTAGTAGTAGTAGCGGTAATAGTAGTAGCGGTAGTAGCAGTAGTATTAGTAGTATTAGTGGTAGTGGTAGTAGTAGTAGCGGTAGTAGTAGTAGCGGTAGTAGCAGTAGTAGTAGTAGTAGAAGTGGTAGTAGCGGTAGTGGTAGTAGTAGTAGTAGTAGTAGTAGAAGTAGTGGTAGTAATATTGGTAGTAGTGGTAGTAGAAGTAGTAGTAGTAGTAGAAGTAGAAGTATTAGTAGAAGTAGTAATAGTAGTAGTAGTAGTAGAAGTAGTAGTAGTAGTAGAAGTAGTAATAGTAGTGGTAGTAGTAGTAGTAGTAGTAGTATTAGTATTAGTAGTAGTAGTAGTAGTAGTAGTAGTGGTAGACTACACACACAAACGGTGGATCGCTTTGCACCAGATATTACAATGTTATTACAACAGAACATATTCTATACATGAACATATTCTATACATGAACATATTCTATCTGTTGTAATAACATTGTAATATCTGGTGCAAAGCGATCCACTTCCAAATGATGCTCTCTCTTTGGTGCCTTTTGAATGTGTTTGCACTATTTGTATTTGTATTGCGTTATGTTGTTGTACAGGTGTACAAGGAGGAGCAGGAGGAAGAGATGAAGATGAAGATGGCCCTGGACCCCAGGTGGAAGAGGTACCGACGGTGGATGAAGAATGAAGGACCTGGACGACTCACTTTTATTGATGATTGACAACATGCATATTATATACTACACCTGACTTGTGCCAATATATACAGATATACTATATACAGATATACTATATACAGATATACTATATACAGATATACTGTGTTGTACAGATATACTGTGTTGTACGGATATACTGTGATAAAATATATACAGACACACTGTGTTGTACAGAAACACTGTGTTGTACAGAAACACTGTGTTTTACAGATATACTGTGTTGTACAGAAACACTGTGTTGTACAGAAACACTGTGTTGTACAGATATACTGTGTTGTACAGAAACACTGTGTTTTACAGATATACTGTGTTGTACAGAAACACTGTGTTGTACAGAAACACTGTCTTTTACAGATATACTGTGTTGTAAACAAAACACTGTGTTGTACAGAAACACTGTGTTGTACAGATATACTGTGTTGTACAGAAACACTGTGTTTTACAGATATACTGTGTTGTACAGAAACACTGTGTTGTACAGAAACACTGTGTTTTACAGATATACTGTGTTGTACAGAAACACTGTGTTGTACAGAAACACTGTGTGTACAGAAACACTGTGTTTTACAGATATACTGTGTTGTACAGAAACACTGTGTTTTACAGATATACTGTGATAAAATATATACAGACACACTGTGTTTGCATATCTGAGTGTTTGTGAATACATCTACTGATGATAATGCCTGTTTGTATGGATAATTATTTTCATAGATATTGAATTGGGGATGTTTAAAGCCAGTGAAAGGTACTAATGTATAACTATAATAAGATGTATTGAAGCCTTATACAGCATATCGAGAGCTGGGGACTAAAGGGTCTATCTGCAAAAATATGATTCTGAGATAATTGGCTTTAAAGTTCTGAACCCTCATTGGTTTGAATGGTGTCTGATCCCATGGTTGAATGTGTCTAACCCTCTTGTTTGAATGGTCTTAACCCATGGTTTAAATGGTGTTGATCCCTCATTGTTTGAAGGGTGTTAACCCCTCTGGTTAATGTCCTGAACCTCATGTGTTGATGGTGTCTGAAACCCTCATGTGTTGAATGTGTCTGATCCCTATCTGTTGAATGTGTCTGAAACCCTATTGGTTGTGAACTGGTTGCCTGAACCCTATTGTTGATGTTGTACGAGACCCTCATGGTTGATGTGTCTGAACCCTCTTGGTTTGAATGTGCTAACCTCATGGTTTGATGGTGACTGAACCTCATGTTTGAATGGTGTCAGACCTCATTGGTTTGAAAATGTGTTTAACCTACATGTGTTTGAATTGCTGATCCCTCTTGTTTGAATGGTTGTCGAACCACTTGGGTTTGAATGGTGCCTGCGACACCCTCATTGGTGTTGATTTGGTTCTGAACCCTCAGTGGTTTGAATGGTGCCTGAACCCCCGCATGGTTTGAATGGTGGTCCCTGAGACCCTCATTGATTTGGAATGGTGTCCTGAAACCCCTCATTTGGGTTTGGAATGGTAGCCTGAACCCCTCATTGGTTTGAATGGTGTCTGGAGACCCTCATTGGTTTGAATGGATGTCGGAACCCCTCATTGGTTGGGAAATGGGTGCCGAACCCCGCATTGGTTTGAAATGGTGTCCTGAGAACCCTCATTGGTTTGAATGGTGTACTGAACACTCATTGGTTTGAATGGGGTCTGAGACTCCTCATTGGTTTGAATGGTGCCTGAACCCCTCATTGGTTTGAATGGTGTCTGAGACCCTCATTGGTTTGAATGGTGTCTGAACCCCTCATTGGTTTGAATGGTGCCTGAACCCCTCATTGGTTTGAATGGTGTCTGAGACCCTCATTGGTTTGAATGGTGTCTTAACCCTCATTGGTTTGAATGGTGTCTGAACACCCTCATTGGTTTGAATGGTGCCTGAACCCCTCATTGGTTTGAATGGTGTCTGAACCCCTCATTGGTTTGAATGGTGTCTGAACCCCTCATTGGTTTGAATGGTGCCTGAACCCCTCATTGGTTTGAATGGTGTCTGAACACCCTCATTGGTTTGAATGGTGTCAGCGGTTTTTATCTTGTATTCTTTTGAACCTTCTAGTCCCAACCTCTGCTGGTATATGTAACGCCTTTCATAATATGATCTTTCAGCTCTCTAGGAAAATCTCATGGTGTGAAAGAATGAGAAGATGTATTTAAAACCTTCCTGGCAGAACTGTTGTTAAAACGAAGGCTTTGGCCTAACTGGCACCCTATTACCTATATAGTGCACCACTTCTGGTCTAAACTAGTGCACTACGTAGGGAATAGGGTGCCATTTGGGACGAAGCCCAAGGGTTAGGCAGGGTTGTATAGTCTGTTATTATAGATGCTCATCGTCCGTCTCTGGTCCTAACTGTTATCCCGTCCGACGCAGATTAACCCTACTTCTGAAAGTGCTTTATCTGGGTATGGGAAACCTGTCTGTTATGGGTTACAATGGAATAGGCCTTCCTTCCTATGCGTTGTCTTACCCGGGAAGGCTATTTTTTATTTATTTATTTTTTAGTCATTTAGCAGACGCTCTTATCCAGAGCGACTTACAGTTAGTGAGTGCATACCTTTTTTTTTTTCATACTGGCCCACCGTGGGAATCGAACCCACAACCCTGGCGTTACAAAACGCCATGCTCTACCAACTGAGCTACATCCCTGCCGGCTATTCCCTCCCCTACCCTGGACGACGCTGGGCCAATTGTGCGCCGCCCATGGGTCATCATGACTCTCGAGTCAGTAAAAATATCGTTCAAAAATAATAAATCGTTGGCTAACTGGACTGTTATTTTACTGCTGCTCTTTATTATTTTTATTTTTTACTTAACAAATGTTTCTTAAAACTGCATTGTTGGTTAAGGGCTTGTAAGTAAGCATTTCACTGTAAGGTCTACACCTGTTGTATTCGGTGCATGTGACAAATAACTTTTGATTTGATCACTACTTTCTGCCCCGTCCTCAGTGGTCCTCCCCATCAGACGTTGGTGGCTTCCACATCAAAAGTTTGGGAAGTTAAACATTTTTTACCAGGAAGTGCCGTTTTATTCCCGTCAATATTTCAAATAGTCCTTAAACAATTTGACAAACAAACCCTGCCGAATTAAAGAAAGAAATCAACAGGACATATAATTCTAACTTGTAGACATGCGTCAACTTGTAGAACAACTAAAACTCAAAGCCAGTGTGGAACGGATTAAGGTAAAATAAACACAACAAGAAACATATAAAGGAAAGACAGATTTCAGGTATATATATTGCGTGATCCACTGTGATGTGAGGGTGGGGGGGGGGTCAATTCCATTTATATTTCAGTCAACCAAAATTCGCCTGGATGCTTCCTACATAGAAAAGGAAGTCCCCCTGGCAGTTTATTAATCGAGTAGCCTAAGCTAAATAATAATATTTTTGCACAGTTGTCTGTCTCTTATTCTAAACGCTATGTTATTATTATTTTACGATATTAAAGGGCTGCTGTCAAAATGACAACATTCAGCTAAATTGACGTTCTGGTCATTTGTCAACCTTGGTGTTTCTATCATCTCAGTGACTTACGGTAATTATATGCACTTTTAACCCCATTCAAATTTACGGTAATTATATGCACTTTTAACCCCATTCAAATTTACGGTAATTATATGCACTTTAACCCCATTCAAATGGACTTACGGTAATTATGTGCACCCATTCATATGGGGTACCGTTTTGGCCGCACCCTAGCTATTGTCTCAGGTAGACCTACTGTTTCTAGTCTAGTCCTTTGGGGTGATGCTGAGACCTACTGTTTCTATTCTAGCTTTCTTTCCTTACATTAATGACAGCATTATTTGTCATTCTTAAGCATTTAACAATTGAATTAGAACATTGAACTTAAACCAGTGCTTGACATGGGCAGGAGCTCAAATGTTCTACTGCTTGAGCTCCTGTTCCTCTTATAGAATATTAGCTCAACAGTATTGCACCCAAATAGAGACAGTACCAGCACCCAAAATGAGTAGCGGAACCTATTTCTGTCCAAGCGAAGCACCGACTTAAACCCCGTATGAATCCTGGATCTTGGAGATCTCGGAAAATGCACTGTAAGTATAACTATGCCTACGTAACATAGAAGTATGTTTCACCGTGAAAACTGTTCTCACGGGCACACATATCCTAAATAATGTAGGCCGAATGCTTCTGACCGAAAGAGTCAACTACAGGTCTACTGTCATTAACGTATACTTGTTGGATGGATTAGATACACATTGGTGTCTGGCTTGTATTGCTAGTTGGTCTAGTTGATAGTTGGGTATGCTGTGGCTATTGTCTGGGATTTGGTGTTATAGCTGTGGGCTTTTTGCAGTGAATTGGGATAGTTGTAAGCTATTTGTCTGGATATTGGGGTAAAGTGTAGGTTTTTGCTAGTGTTTTTGGTGTTAGTTAAAGGCTAGTTTTTAGTGTATGGTGTAGGCTGAGGTTTTTGTCTAGTGATATGGTGTTATTGTGGCATTGTAGTAAATTTTGGGTTTTAAGCTGTAGGCTATTTTGTTTTGTTTGGTGTAAGTTGTAGGTAGTTGTCTAGTGATATTGGTGTAGGCGTGGGGTTTTTTGTCTAGTGTTTATGGTGTATAGCGAGGCTTTTTGTCTATGAATTTGGGTAGAGTTAGGCTAGTTGTTTTAGTGATATTGGGTATAGTTGTAGGTATTGTCTGGGAATTGGTGTAACTGAGGCTATTTGTCTAGTTATTGGTGATGTTGTAGGCTAGTTGTCTGTGATTTGGGTTTTTGGCGTATGCAGTTGTCTAGTGATTTGTTTTAGAGTTTTAGGCTAGTTGTCTGTGATATTGGTTAAGCTGAGGCTATTTTTGTTAGTAAATTGGGTATAGTTGGGGGTAGGTCTATGATATTGGTGATAGCTGAGGCTAGTTGTCTAGTGATTTGGGGTTAGTTGTAGGTAGTTGTTAGTGTTTATTGGTGTTGGTTTTATCTAGTTGTCTAGGATTTGGGTGGGTTTTGAGGCAGGGGGTTCTAGTGTATTGGTGTTGGTGGGCATTTGTCTAGTGATTTTGGGGTGATAGTTGGTATTGTCAGTGATATTGGTGTAAGCTGAGGCTATTGTCTAGTGATTTTGGTGTAGAGTTGGGGATTTTTAGGAATTGGGTATAGTGGGGTTAGTTTTCGTGAATTGGTGTATAGTTGTGGGTATTTGTTAGTAAATTTGGTGTATAGCGTGGCGTTGTCTGTGATATTGGTGTATGTGTAGGAGTTGCTGTGATATTGGTGTAAGCGTAGGTATTGTCTTGATTTGGTGTATAGTGATATGGTTTGTTATTTGTAGGCTAGTTGTCTATGTATTGGTGTATATGTGGGTAGTTGTCTAGGATATTGGGTTTTTTAGCTGTAGGCTTTTTGTTAGTGATTTTGGGGTAAGCTGTGGGCTATTTGCTATGTATTGGTGTATGGTGTAGGTTTTGTCTAGTGATTTTGGGTTTGTAGGTGTAGGATTTTCTGGATATTGGTGTATAGCTGTAGGCTAGTTGTTAGGATATTGTGTTTTTGTAGGCTAGTTTCAGTGATATTGGGTTGTGGGCTGGGGCTATTTTTTAGTGATATGGTGTGAGGCTGGAGGTATTGTTAGTGATATTGGGGGTTTAGTTGGGGGTAGTTGTTGGGAAATTTGGGTTTATAGCTGTGGCTAGTTGTTATGATTTTGTGTATAGCTGTGGCTAGTTGTCTAGTGATTTTGGGGTAGAGCTGTAGGTAGTTGCTTGATTTGGTGAGACGAGGTATT